TGAGCCAGCAGACCCCTAGCCCGAGTGAAGAACCACGATGGCCATCACAGTCTGTGGTCCTTCACACGGGCCATGGTAGGGCTCGTGGATGGACCCTAGAACTAGTAGACCCTGGCCAGCAACCATGACCCACTTGACGGGTTGTGGTCCCTTTGACGGACCGTCAGTGGCTCCGTGGAGGGGTCTCGTCTGCTTTTAAGTTAGGGTCATTTTGGTCTTTTCTCTTATGCATTGGACATTTAAATTACGTCATTTAATACCTAAACTACGTTGTTTCACTCAGCTTAAGCCTAGTAATTTAGTCAGAACTTACCCAAATTGTTTATTTGTAAAAAAACCATCAAACTTTAAGCAAAAGGAGAAGAAGGAGTCGACCAACCCCTCAAGAACAAGCAGAAGGTTTTCTTCAAGTTCCAACCCCGAAATCAAAAGATTTCTCCGTAGATTTCGTCACTAGGTATGTGGGATTTCACTAGTGGGTTCCTTTCATCCACTAGGTCTCTAGAATTCAGTCAGATTCTTGATTCTCCATATCTTGTTTAGACCTAGGGTTTATAAAACCTTAGGAATTGTTGTTATTTACCTGTTATAGTATTCTTAATCAAATTGTAATGTTTCGTGGAAACGCTGCTTAGTTTCTTGCATGAAATTCAAAACCCTAGTTGTGTAGATTCTCTTAGTTCATGAATTACACTTGCTATGCCTATTAAGCAGATAAACATGCCTCAGATTTCGAATGTTACATTGTCAGTGCCTAAATGTTGCATTCTCAGATTTGCATGTTAGAATATTGAGCTATTCAGTATTTTAGTTATGTTGTGTCATATATATTTCCAGTTGGGAGTAGACTTAACACCGAGTTGGACGAGGGTTCAGCGTACCCTCATAGTCCCAGAACTACATGCCCCTATAGGATTATAAGTTCCCTCTGTGGGCATCAAATTTAGTGATCACGCCAGTCACGACTTTATACCTATGACAAGGTCTATTTGGTCCTCTCGATGGGGTGTATACATTGGACTCCGCATTTAGCTCACGTGGTTTTATGTTGGTTAATAGTAGCTCCCACAGTCAGACTCTAGTGCATTTGACAGGGTATTCAGTTTATACTTCAGTATTCAGTCTCACCATGTTATGTTCATAATCAGAACTTGGTCAACGCATTTAGCTTAGTTGTCAGTTAAAGATTCAGTATTTACATTCTGTTCAGATTATATCATTGCTCAGTTATGCTTTGTTCAGTGTATGTATTTGTTCAGCTATTATTTATTTATTGCATGCTCAGTACATTCCAAGTACTGACACATACTCTACGCTACATCCTTTCATGATATAGGTTCAGGTATTCAACATCCAGATCACGCATAGATCGGTTCTCGATCCGTATTCAGCAGCTTCAATGGTGAGTCGTCATACTTCGAGGACAATAAACATGTTTTTCATATTCAGTCTTTTATTTCAGTTTTCAATTTTGCTAGAGCTAGCTGGGGGCATGTCCCAGCAACTCTAGTCAGTAGAGGCTTTTCAGACATAGTATTAGATTTAGCTTTAGCTTTTGAGTGATTGTTCAGTATCACCAAACTCTTAGAAAGTCTTTTTATACATTAAGATCATTTTTGGGTATCCCCACTATTAATTATCTATTGTTTTAGCTTTCGCATAGTATATATTTTATTCAGTTATTCTCAGTATGCTTAATATATGCAAGACTCAGTGTTAGCTTGGGGTCATTCGTGATCTTAGGTCCCGTGTTACGTCAAGGGGATCGCCTCGGGGCATGAGATGTCCTTGCTTTCCAAGGAAAAAACCTCAAACTTCTAGATTAGATGGACCCACTAGCTATGTCACTTAGGACAACCTACGGGGACACGTAGTTAGGGACAAGGAGATTACTACTAGAGACCCAACCTCTACTAACGGAAGAGCCTTCATCTCAATATTAGCTTGGTGCTAAGTAAAATCCGAATGAAATTAGTCATCGGTATAAACATATCTTCATGCATGAAAAAGCACAATTAAGTTACAAATCCAAGCTAAAAACATCATGAAACACTACATCAAAAATGATCTTTAGCGGCAATTAATTAACTAAAGATGTATTTTTAGCGGCAATTAGCACTCATTGTATATGTCCCTAAAGCCTTTAACGACATTGGATGTAACGACACTTAACTAATACTGATAAAAACTTTAGCACTCTTTATAGTTTATATGCATCTGCTAGGTTCTCTTAGCAGCAAACTAGCCCATGTATTCCAAGTTTCATGTTTGCTAAGTAGTGCCGATGTTATAATTGGCACTGGTTTGCATAATTCTTATAGCACAAGAAAATTTTCAAACTGTGAATACTTCGAAAATATGATTCATACAATAATACATGCCAAAAGAGTGAAAGTGGATGAACTTAAAAAATGTCATATTTGTTCTTGTACTCTCAGAAAAAAGGTTATATTTGCGCTCACTATATTTTTTTGATATATTTGTATTACCTTCCAACTTACTTTGGGTACATATTTTCCCTTAAACTATAAACTCCCCACCTTTATTATCTTACGTGACACCTACATAGATATATTTTTATTCCAATTAAAGTTTTCTCAAAGTTCTATGATATTTGAGTTTTTCCGTTTATTTTAATTTATAACATGGATATAAATTTGTTGGCAGACTCTATAAATTTGTGACTTGAAGTATACCATATCTTGCTTTCCTCTTCGGCACAATCAAAGCGAATAACTTTGAGTTTCTTCATAGAAAACCTCTCTACCTTACGCTAGCATTCTCGGAGTCAAGATTTTTATTTAAAAAGTGTTAAATGAGCATGCTGGTGTTTTTACTGACAAGGTTTTATTCTCTTGAGAATTTGATGAGCTGATAAATATTAGTTAGGATTAATTTTGAAGTGGTAATTAATATGTAGATGTTGTTAAATTCAATATTTAGGCTAGCAGGGTTTTAAAGGATCCTTATTATTGTAGTCATTTACAGTTTCTTCAATATTTTTGTTTCATATGTGGTCTTGTTTTTCTACTACCCATAAATTAATTGACATGCGGATTACAAGTATGAAATTGTGGAATGTTTGAAGTTAGAAATGACTGGTTATAAAATGAATAATGCACCTATTTTACAGAAAACTGAAATTTTCGCAAATGCAAGATGTCGCCTGTAATACTTCTAATATAGTCATGGGCGAATTTATATACTAATTTTGGGTCACCCAAACCCGTGGTCATCCGACTAAACTCGATATATTACTTCTATAATTATTAAAGAATATATTAAATTAAAACTTGTTGAACCCGTTCTCAAAATGGCTGGATGGTTCACTGGTACCACTGCAAGATTTCAACTCACGGGTCGCAGGTTCGATCCCAGGCAGCTCCAATTCGCTTCAATTTATTTTTATTAACTAAAAACACATTTTTCATTAAAAAAAAGAAGCTAAATTCTGAAAGTTTAAAAGTCAAAAGACTTCAAAAGTTTCCTTCCCACACACTTTTCAAGTTCCAAGTTCCAACAATATTTTTCTCTTCAAATTTATTTTCTATTTTCCACACAAAGAAGAAGCTGCAAGTCTCCAACTTCAAGTCAAGAATTTAGAGAAATCATCATTATCAAAGTTTAAGGTAATTTTAGTTTATGATTTCTCTTTTTAATAAACAAACTAACAAGATAAATATATATATATATATATATCACTTTAATTTTAGGGTTTTCATATAAAAAAATCTTGTCATTACTTATAATAGGAAATCATCAATAGCTAAAGAATTGATTATCTCAAACTTACATATTTTGCGAATGTAACTTGTAAGGAATGTGTTTCATATTATATTATCAATTTTGAAGGGTGTGATTCCTTTTTTTTAATGTGAAAGGGGTGTGATTCCCTTATTTTTTTTAAATGTGAAAGGGGTGTGATTCCTCTTCTTTCTATGAATATGTGATTTCGAATGCAAAAGAGGCATAAGTCCTCTTTTTTATTATGAATGTGTGATTTTCTTATTGTTAAATGTGAAAGGGGTGTGATTCCTCTATTTTAGTTAGATTTGCAAGGATTGTGATTCCTCTATTTTTATTTTTTTATTATGAATGTGTGATTTTCTTATTGTTAAATGTGAAAGGGGTGTGATTCCTCTATTTTAGTTAGATTTGCAAGGATTGTGATTCCTCTAATTTATTTGAACTTGCAAGGGTGTGATTCCCTTATTTTTTATTGTGAAAGATATGCGATTCTCTTATTTTATTTTAAATTTGCTAGTTAAATTTGTGACTAAGTTGAATAGCATTGGTGAAGAATTTTTGAATGGATGTTTAGTTTGTAAGATAGAGCGGAAGATATTTGAAAATGTAAGTAATGATGCTATTATAGATCGTTTTCAAAATATGAAGTCTCGTCGAGTACAATTGTAAACTGATGATATTTTTTGTGGTAATGTAATTTTTATGTATTGCTCGCTTAGTTATTGTTATTATAAATTTTTTGATATTATCTTTAAAGCAATGGTGCACCCGTTTTTCTTAAAATCCTGGATTCGCCTCTGAATATAGTCTTATATCTGAACCGAGTATCATAGAATTCAATGCATGGATTAGCGATGTGTAAGATCTGAGGATTAGCTGAACAATTTTATTAATCAATTATGGTGTTTTACATATATATGGCATCTGATAACCTCAATAATATTAGCATATAAGCTTATGTTTTGTATTTTTAAAGGTTACTCTCTCCAAACTTAACTGCTTTGTAAATTAAAATATTGGGCCTGAGCTGAGCAGGAGCCATGTGCATCTAGTATACATATATATGTGCTCAATTACAAAAACTTGACAATTTAAATTTTTATGGGTACAAACAAAATCATTGGAAAGTGAAGTAAGATTTATGAAAAAAATGATTCAGAACATGTGAAGTATTTGGATATGCATAAGTAGATAAAAACTTCCTTTATATTTCTTTTCACATTGAAATTAAGTATCATGATGGTAATTACTTACTAGATTTGCACTTGTGCTTTCTCACCAGGTCCTCCATAGAGTACAAAATGCTGATACTTTCCAGGCCTGAGATGCGGTACGTCTATAATTTGATATAAATTAGGACTGTCGACATGTGTTATTATTCTATCTACGTCTATGGTCTCACCTTTATCATTTATAATGGTAAGTCCCCTACAATAAGCATCATAACCAGTTTTTCCAATGGGAAGATAACTAGACCCCATCAGAGGTTCAGGTACACCTGGTGGACTGTATACCACTCCTCCCCATTCAACATTCGACGCAAAACTAGCCAAGTTGGTGAAGATTTCTTGAGGCCAAAAACCAATCTGTATATGATTTTTTTCAAGATATAGCCACCAGTTTCCGTTGGCTAGATCCTTTTGTTTTTGTGAAAAAAAATATGTAAGTATTTTGGTGATTTCCAAAACTAATTCTTGAGTACTAATAAAATAAATTGAAAGAAGTTCTAGAAAAGAAACATATAATTTACCTTGGTGATAGCCATTGTCTCTTCCCATGAAGCTTCATCTCCACGGTGTGACATACCACTGAATGTCGTATCAACAGGTATCTCGGTATTCACTACAACAAAACCAGGACATAATGTATTGAAACATTGTTGATTACCAGCCTACAAAGCATACAAAAATATCTCATATCAGCTATAGATGCAAATTTGAAGTACATAGCTAAACAAAAAGATTACTAGTTTCACAAAATTGAGATATAAGGCATTGAAGTAAATTATAAAAATATTAAAAAAACTTACTTGAAAATGTATATATAGCCTAGTTTGCGTATCCCCGTAGAGTGTTGGGTCCACCTAGAGTTTGAAATAGAGATATCGTGATGATTGGGCCGATAGTAATTGTAGCAATTGATGCTTTCACAGCTAAAAGAAATAATTGTTTAAATTGTCAATGAATTTAGACTTACTCTCCAACCAACTTGTACAATATCATATCCTTTTTGAATTTTTAATCGACATGCACTATGTTGATTATCGCTAACTAAAGGATTCCATAGGCTAGTTGTCATTTCAGCTCCTGCAAACTTGCTTTTTGGATTATTTCCAGCCCGAGCTATTGCAACCTATATGTAGTGAATAATATTTTGTCAAGTCTAGGTATATATTTTCCTTTAGACCTTGAAGTTTATTTATTAGTCTATGAGTAAACAATAAGGTCCTGATAAAAATTGCAAAAAATAAGAGAAAATGTGAGAATCTATTTGTTGCCAATCATTTTCTTAGACAAGTGAATCTAATAAGTATAGAAATTGGATGTCATGTAAATCTAACTCAAAGCAAAGGCAAAGATCTACGATGCACAATTTAATATTTAAACAAGTAAATATGTCAAATCCAGTTAAATGACTATTGACTAACATTGTAACAATAAAGTAGAACATGAGAAGGTGAAATTTATATATTCATGTACCTTGTATCCTTGTGAAGATTTGTATATTCCTTCAAGCTCACTAGTGTTGTTAGTCTGTGTAGAGGCAATAAAATATATATTAGATTTTTTAAATTATGAAAAACTAAACATGTTTAGTCTTTAACACACGAATTCTTCAAATTTATTTGGAAAAAATGGAAAAATATATCACCAAACTATCATAAATGATATGTTAATACCCTCCGTTATACTTTAAGATTGTATATACCCTTATCGTTACTCTTTTGGGTTGTGTATATCCTTAAAATTAATGAGAGGACATGTAGCTTCATCTCAATGATTTAACCAATTTGGGTTGTTTATATCCTTAAAATTCATTTACCTAAATTACAACAAATAAACTTAGATTCAAAACTTTTTATTCGATTGTTGAGCCGTTTTTAAACTTAAAGTTTTGTCTATCAATGGTGGTAGTAGTTGCTACCCCTTTTAACAACAACAAATCGATTAGAACAAAAAATTGAAATGGGGTCTCTAACTTTCAATGGAAGTACATGATACTATTTGTTTTAATGAGATTTGAAAAATAACTTGCAAATGAAGATGTATTGAAGATCAATTTTTTCTTTTGTTTGATTGAATAGGTTTTGGTTTATGTTTTAATGGAGAAGGGGTCCGCTATTTTTTTTATTTTTTTTAAATGCTATGGTATTTTAATTTGGGTTGTGGGTAGCTACGTAAATTATGAAAGATGGGTAGGTTGTTTTAATTTTAAGTAAAAATAAATAAAATCAGGTAAATTATTGAGATGAAACCACGTGTCCGTCAGTTTTAAGGGTATACACAATCCAAAATATTGACGGTAAGGATTTATATTTGAGCTAAAGCAGTAAATTGGTGTAACATTATCTTACCGCAATTAATTGGGCATGAAATGTGGCATCTTCTGGTGAAGGCATATTTCTATGTCTGATAAGATCTTCTTTGGTAATTCTTCTAATTGGAACTGTTCCAGGAGGACAACCTTTACCTTTTAACCATATCCTTGATGATAGACTAGTTGATGAGTTTTCTGAATTTTGCTTTGTTCTCACTAAAGTAGGTTTCATCTGTACATTCGAAATAAAAATTATGTATCTCACAAAATTGTATATGCATTTTTAGAAAGCTCAACATAAAATGACCAATTAAAGATATACCTGGGAATAAAAATTATGATTCTTAAGTAACGGATGATCAAATGCATGTTGTTTATAGAAATCCACGCAATCATATATATCTCCATGTATAGTCTATGAATTAAAAACACATTAATTTATTAATCAATCACTCAAAAGAATAACAAACACAAGTATTTTTTAAAGATATACCTTAATTGTTTTCACTGCTGATTTTTTCAAAAGTTTAAATTGTTTCTCCATCTCTAAGACTTCCAGTTTGGATAACTTTATTTCTCCTTGAACTCCATTGTAGCTCAGAAGAAAATATAGTATCCATAAAAACCGTCCAATAAAACTGTGATGCATCAACATTGACCTAAATTCATGAAATTATCTTATAAGGATGAATGTATTGATGAATGATTTATACCAGTCTAATGTTTAAACAATCAAATTCATTCAAAATAAAATGAAAGTACTATTAATAGGACTAACCTGATTTATTAGATGTAGGAAAGATGGAATAATGTGAGCACATATCACCTTTGGAATATGATGAAGATATTTTATTACAGAGAGAGGTGACAAATTTAATTTATTTTTAACCAAATCCACAAAACAATTTTATCCCTCTAATAAATATGAATTGCCTACTTATGACTTTATATTAAATTAGCATTATAATTACATACTTACTAAATTTATCATGATTTTGATATTGACTATCATTAGATCTTATTTGACCATCATTAGAATCCGTTTGACCATGAAATTATTATTTTTTGGAATAATTTTTATTTATTTCAAAATTAATGTTTGGTTATAAAATTTTAAAATCCATCTTGGAGGATTCCAAATTTGAAAAAAGTGCTCCAATTGTTGATAACGTGTTATTTTCTTTTCTTTGTAAATTATAGGTGGAATGACCAAGGAGAACCCTTATACTTGACTCGAATTGTAAACTGGACTCTTCTACTCACGACTTTGCCAACTAACCACTTAAATTAGATAAAACTCAACATTTTGAACCCTTCCAACTCATCGAGACTCTCAATCACTTTGATGTCACACTCCATGTCAGATGCTGGAGTAAAAGGTGGAGAATTTTTCGTAGGTTTAAAAAATTGAAGTGGGATAAAATAAAGTCTAGTGTTAATGGCATGTTTGTTCCTCACTAAGTTTTCCGATGGCAGTGTGTTTGTGTTTGCCCTTTTGCTTTGGAAAAGGGTGAATAAGAGGAAATTTAAGGAGAACCTAAATAACGATTTCTTCAGATGATAATTGACAGTGATAATTTCAGAAGAAAAGATGGTGGTAACGACGAAGAAGAGGAGTTGCAGCAGCCATGGCCGGGAGATGGTGCGCTTGGAGAAGAAAGGAGTTTTTTCTTTTCCTTTTTTATTTTTTAATCTTTTTCCTTTTATTTATATTTATTTTTTCTGATTTTAGTCCTTATAAATCATAATTCATCCATTCACTCTCCTTATATGTGTGAAACTCACGCACTTTGTCCAACTCAGTCGTCAAGTTGCCACACAAGCGAGGGATTTAAAATATTGAGTTTCATAAAGTTTAAGTGTTCAATTGACAAAGTCATGAATAGAAGAGTCTAGTTTACAATTCGAACCAAGTATAAGGGTCTCCCAGGTCATTCCGCCTAAAATATATAACCAAATACAAGTTCATCATCAACTCTAACTTCATAAATTTAAGTGAAAAATATTTCAATATATGGTGAAACACCTACTTCATAGGTATTTGGATATGTGATATGAAATCATGTGATAGTTACTACTATTCTTAACCAGTGGATATTTATAAAATTATATGTATTTGAAATTTTATAATCACAAATATTTATTCATCAAAAGAACATGGAGATATGTAATTTATCAACATGTCGCCATAGGATATTTATGAACTATAGTTTGCTCCTGTAAGTTTTGGGTCGTGGACCGACCCGACCCGACCCAATCTGTTTCATGTCTTATCCAAATTAATTAATTAATAATTAATTGGATAAATCCTTTTAAAGGATAAGGCAGAACAGTTACAAAGTAACTGTTCAACCTTTCCTTAAAAGACTCCTAGTGGGAGTGTTTTCCTAAGGGATGTAAAAACTGGAAAAAGGTGTAAGTAAAAAGAGGAAAACGTGTGAAATAGAAAATCGAAAATAAGCGATCAGTAAGAAACAAAGAATTGAGTTTCTGAGACGAATCAATCAGTACACAGAAGAAGACTTCTAGTTTGTGAATAGATCTTTGTTTCCCAGTGATTCAAAGACGGACTTGAGTGCAATTCTGTCAAAGAAGCAGATCAATGACTTTCGCTGCGAATTACAAGGTACATAACTCGTTGTTAAATACCTTAATATTCCTACAATGGTATCAGAGTGATTGTTTATGATCTCATTATGTGCTGCGTACTTGAAAATTCACTGTCTATGTTTATAAGAAATAAAATAGATTCTATGTCATTTAAAATCAGTGAATAGAAAAAATTGAATGATGTTAATTTTCATGACGCTTAGATGTGGATTAATTTTATGTGAAATAGGAATCCTATTTGATTTTCAATCATAAAATAGATAGGATTTCTTGTCCTACTAAGAAAGAAATTCTATTTTTAATACTGCTTCTGTTTAATAGCGATCTGAAAATAGAATATACGATGTTTGGCTCAAAATTATTTTTTCCATAATCTGCTCGTGCTTAGCTTTCCAAAAACATATTATAATGGAAAAAGGGAATTATAACGAGTGAGATACGAATTATTTAAAAAATTGGATTTGTTTTCTTTTTTCGAAAAAACTACATCTGTCTAGAGCAATCTGGAAATTCGATGTGCAGTTTTTGGATGGAAACTTATTTCTTTTTATTTGCTCATTTTAAGCTTTTCGAAAACATATTATAATAAGGAAACCGACTTAAAACGAGCAAGATATGAATTTTTTCAACAAATGGCTAAAAAAAAACGTTTTTTTTATAAATTTTTTATTATTTTTATATGTCCTCTTTTAGGATCTTATTGTTCTTGAGTATTCAAATAGTCCTTATGTTCCTTACACAGTTGCTTGACATTATGAGAAATTTGTGACATGTGTTGTCACATTAAATGGTATTAACCATATTTTATTTTGTTCCCATTTCAGATATGGCTGAACGGGAACATACTCAAATTACTCCAAGTGAAAGTTCTCAAAGTATGTTAAGAAAAGGAAGGGTCATTTAGAGACAAATAGAAAAAGATTTAAGAGAGTTTAATTCTTTGAAGATGGATCCCCATGGATGCTTAATATAATTTCTCCAGAACTTTGTCGTGAAATTTGAGTAACTTTATGAAAGTCACCCTCAAATAACAGATAGTGAAGGATATGTTATTTTGTATGATTCGTTGCCAGAATTCTGGAAGAATGAACTTAATCAAGTTAGAATCGAAATTGGGGATGACGAAGAATTATGAAAGTAATATGTAAAAATAGGAGTTAAGTGGGTAAAGCTACACCCAAAGTGTATCCACATACTTCATTTTTTTATCAGATTAGTTTTATTTATTATTTTAATTTTATTAAAGTATGAAATGAACATCTTTTATTGTGCTTTGATATGAATATTTAAGTTTTATTTTATTGAATAAGTGAATGATTATTCTATTGCGCAGTATAATATGATGTTTAATTATTAGACATACAAATATGTGTGGTTATAGTCTAAAATAAATAAATGTACACATTAAGAAGTTAATTTCAAATTTTGGTTAAATATTTAATTTGTAGATGATGATTGGATGCATACGTGTCTTTTCGATTTTACATTCAAATATGACATCATTATGAGAATTGATTTGCTTGAATGTGTATGTCACATGCATAATTGTTAAAATTCTTGCCTAAAGATATGTCAATAACAGACATGGTATCAAAAGTATCATTACTGACTTAAACAAAGGTGAAAAACTTAATGGTAATAATTACGACATCTGGAGTCGTAATATACGGTATATGCTGGAAGAGCAAAAATGCTTCGGGAGGTATAAACCATGTATTGAATCAACCAAAAGAAGGTAATACTGCACAACACCTTAGGGTGATGTCAAACATGGTAACTCAACTCAAGAGTGTTGGTCATTTTTTTTTAAAGATGAGCAACAAGTTCATGCAGTAATTCGATCTCTTCCCAATAATGGGGAAAACTTGAAGGTTAAATTGACCCATAATCATGGCATCAAAACTTTTGTGATGATTGCAAACTATGTTGAACTTGAAGATAAGCACCTTGGTCCTGCTAAAAACTGCTTCTAAATGCCTTTGTGGCAGAAACAAGGGGTACAAAATCTTCAAGCTTCAAGCGTAAGAAAAAATGGGAAAAATAAAGAGGCTGAAGGAAGTCCTTCTAAGAAAAAAGAAAAATCCAAATTCCAAGAAAGGAAAATGATTTTTCAAGAAGAGAGACAAGAGCAAAATGAAGTGTTACAATTGTCGAATGTTGGGGCATTTCACTCATGAATGCAATGAGCCGAAAATGTAGCATTTCGAAACGCATCTCAAAGTGCAACATATGGTTTCGAGCACTTCTTTACAAGCTAAATCTTATCCTATATGGATTGTAGACTCGGGATCCACCAACCACGTGAGTCGAGATAGAGAGGCGTTTGTGGAGTTTCATCGAGTTTTATCTAAATTAAGGTGGATCTACGTAGGAAATAATGCTAGGCTTGAAGTCAAAGGTATAGGCACTTGCAAAGTGGACTTGCGTGGTGGCCGTTCGTTGATGTTGCATGAAGTCCCATATACTCCAGAAATTCGACGAAACTTAGTGTATGTGTCTGTTCTTTTAGACGTTGGTTTTGATTTGTTTTTTTAGTTGTAATGGTGTTAGAATAACTCTAGATAATGTTTTATATGGTTTTGGACTTTGTTATGACCGTTTTATCGTATTAGATTGTAATCCTTCAACTTATGACTATTATGTTGACTGTTGTGTAAAGGCATGTTATTCAAGTAACAATGATGTTGATGTTATTACATGGCATGCTAGATTAGGTCACATAATGCAAGATCGAATGAATAGGTTGACAAAAGAAAGACATTTATGATCTTTCACCAAAGTTGAAATGTCAACTTGTAAAAATTGTCTTGTTGGAAAGATTACACGTAAACCATTTAGGAAGGCTAAGAGAGCTAAATTCCCACTCCAATTAATTCATTCTGAAATTTGTGGTCCAATGAAAGTAAAGGCAAGGTCAGGTGCTACATACTTCATTACATTTATTGATGTTTTCACGCGCTTTGATTATGTCTATTTGATTTCTCATAAATCTGAAGCACTTGAGTGCTTTAA